ATTTTTAAAAATCGTACATAAAATAGATCCAAATTTCACCATCATCCGATTTCACGATCATCCGTGACATTAAATATTATTTTTAAGTTAAAACTGATATTAAATAAAGACATTATCATATAATGCTCAGTACAGATTAAATTCTACTTTGTATGCGCCACTGATAAAAAATTTAATTTTTGTCAAAAGTTTAGAGTTTAGATTAAAACATGCTCTTTCTAATGATATGAATTTTAATAAACAAATTATTTTACTAAAACATGCTTGCATATATATAAAGTTTGCTGCTGTGACCTCAAATTTGCTGGGGTTACACAAAATCGTTAATTTTGATTGGTTATATCATATGATTTTCATATGATTTTTGTAAACAAAATTAGGCCGTTCAAAGTTAATTAGTTGTTTAACGTCGAAATTTTTAGTGCAGAGCCGGGGGGATAATTTAAACAAACATAATTCAAGATTAATATTTACTGCAAATAAAGATTTAATTTTATTGATGTTTTGATTAATATGAGCTATACTTTTACTAAAACATTTATGTTACATTATCTTAAAAACTAGTTAAGCAATACATTAAGTAAAAGTGTTTAAAAACTAGTTAAGCAATGCACTAAGTAAAAGTGCTCTACATCCCAAAAAACCCATCCTAAGCCTCAATTCTAACACCAAATACTAACCCCAAAATGAAAATTTTGAGCCAAAATTTTATATAAAAACATAGAAAAATTTATAAAAGCATATAATAAGTGTAAAACCACCCTAGGTGCGAGTTTATAATAAATGTAAACCTTTATGTCAAACCAAAATTTTTTTGATTTTGTCTTGAAATACAATTGGTGCCTGAGTAGACCATTCACGACTATTAGCATTACATGAAATACAAAGTGGGTAAATAGTCTTAAACTGTGACTTTAATTCATCAGATGGTTTGATAATGCCATCTTCTGCACCACACCAATAGCACAAATCAACATTCTTTAACTGATATGAGTAATAATTTTATTCAATAGGTGAATCATAAGTAATATTTAGATGTATATAAAGTTGTGAAAAGAATAATTTTTATCCAAAAAAATTGGAAACCCACAACTATAGGTAATATTTTCAAAATATTGTATAATTGTCTCAGAATTATTAATTAATGTTGTATTACTATAGATATAGTGTACTTTTCACAAAAATCACAACAAACTAGCAATCAAAATTTTGTATTTATAAATATTCTAAATTGAGTTTTTTTATTTGTAAATTTTTGTTGTAATAATTTGTATTCTTTAGTTGTTGGTTTAACGTATATATCATCAAATTCTTTGAAATGCTTTTTATCTAAATAAAATATTTTAAATAAATAAAATAAATAGTTAATTACAAGAATAATTTTTAACTTTGTTATAACTATCCTCTCTAAATATATGCTTAAATTTTTGTATAATTATGTATTTAACTTTTACAAATACATTTTTTTATTATTTTATAATTATTGCTGCTAAAAAGTTAATTTTTATAGAGTGCATTTAGAGAGGCTAGCTATATATTACAATTTTATATACTAGTAGAGAGTTCTGGATCAGATAAATTTAATAAACTTTCAAATATACTAATTAGAACTTGAATGGGTTGACATATTTTACATTTTACACTATTATATTTTTTAATTTGAAATATATAGGTTCAAATTGGAATATAATTTTAAAAATTCATTATAAAGTTGTTGTATTTTTAAAGAATTTGATGTAGTTATTGTTTGCTCAATAGTGTTCTTAAATAAGCCAGTTTGCTGCAGCCTATTTGTCACACCCAGGCTTGCTGCGGCTTACTGCGGCTTATAAGCTATGTAACTATATAATTTTTTGTATACATGTTACTTCTACTTTTTTATAACTATCACAGCTTTATAACACTTGATAATATAATTACTATTTATTGATATTTAGAAACTTAAGTAAAAATAGTACTTGATCTTTTTGTTGTTAAGCAAGACACAAAACTTTATTAACTCGTATTAGCAAATCAAACCAAGTTTATAATATATTATATAATTAATTATTAGATTATCCAAAAATTATTTTGCTATTGTCTTTGATAATTAGTGATTATTATTTAATCAACCC